GGCCAATGCCTCCCCCTTGGACTCTACTGCCTCCGCCCATCTATGAGTTAAGTAAACTAGAAGATCACCCGCTGATCGACCCCGACGAAAACCGTACTGACGGTCACTGATCAGCTGGTGATCCTCAAGGTACCTTATGAGCTGGCAGTTTATAATGGATTCCATTATTTTGGAGAACAAGGAGGTGATGGCGATAGGCCTGTAATTGGACGGGTCTGAGCGATCGCCTTTTTAGGGATCGGGTGGACCAAAGCTGTCTTCCATGAATTCGGGACTACCCCTTGGGAGTAGGAGTACCGGAAAAGACGCGTTAAAACCGGTGCCAACTCCGGAGGACACGTCTTCAGCACAATGGGAGGGACTCCATCGGGCCCACTCGACTTGCTGACGTCCAGGGAGAAGAGTGCTTTGCGAACCGAGCGCTGTGTAAATCGCACATCCGGCATGGAGCACTCACATCACGGGATGGTCGGCGGTGTGTTCCCCCCGTCATCTAGAATCGAGTTAGACGCAAAAAGAGAGCACAACAGATCGGCTTTTTCTTTTGCGGCATGGGCCAGTGAGTCGTTCTCTTTGTGCAGAGATGGAAGGGATGGCTGACGGAAGTTCCCTTGGACAGCCTTGGCGAGAGACCAGAATGCACGGGTTCCCGAATGAAGGCGAACTAGCTTCTCGCCAATTCTGCCGATGTGCTCAGACCTTAGCAATGACGCTTTTGAAGGACCTGGAGGCGGAATTATACTTCTTTTTAAGTGCGCTGGTGTTTAAATCCCGAGACGTTGATGCGTCAGCCCAGGCCCGGTAGCACTCCTGCTTATAGCGTGATGCTATTTTACAGGAGCGACCAAACCATGGCTGGGATCTGCCTCCGATGGGCACCAGAGGATGGAATAAAAAGATCCATACCCTGAAGTGCCACATCAGCAACAGAATCGGCAACAACGTTGGGATCTTCCGGCGAGAAGCAAACCCGCCCCCAAGGGTAGGATGCAAAAAAAGACCGCATCCCGTCCCAATCAGCTGACCTATAGTGCCAAACACGGCGGCAAGCTGCAGATCGCAACTGCGATTGGAGCGTGAGTGGCACCGTGGTCCGGATCAGACAATCGTCCGAAGAGCCCAGAGGGGCATCGACGGAGACCTGATATCCGTCCGGATGAGAGGTCAGCAGAAGGTCCAACAGGGAAGGTACATGGTCTTCCACATCTGGGATCCGCGTAGGCGAAGTAACCAGTTGTGTTAGACCATATGCCAAAGCAAAGTCGTAGACAGATCTACCCGCATGATCGGTTAAACGAGAACCAAGCCATTCAGCGTGGTGGGCGTTGAAATCATCGAGTATCACGATCTCCGCGGATGGGACCTGTTGTAGCACGGAGTCTGCAGCCATTTGGACGAGGTCGATGAGTCGGTCTGTGTCGGCATTACCGCTATGGGACCTATAGAGGTACCCGTAGACGCGAGGATGGTCGTCGCTGTCTACGCGCAGCCATAGGATGGACAGGTCCGTACCTTCAAGGCTGCCGAGGCGTCGAAAACAGATGTCCTCTCTGACGTATACACAAACTCCAGCCCGGGGCACAAAGGAGTGTTCCAATTTGTATCCCGGGTAGGACAGATATGAAGTATCAGCCGGAGATGACACCTGAGTCTCGGTTAAAAAGAGCATGGCCGGCTTCGCCGTCTCTAGTTGGTAATGGACAGCGTTAAGGTTGGAATGAAGTCCCCTGATGTTGCAAAAATTCACGGATAGCGTGACAGGGGTCGCCTTGGTTGTATTGCTCCGCTTGCCCCGAGCAACATTAGTCGCGAGCAGAATTTTGCCCTTCCTCCCCCCCCCCCCCCCCCCCCCAGAATACGCGGGGCAGCCTGAGCACCCACGCTCAGGAGTGAAGTAGTTTGGTCGTGGATGCTCAGCGAGGGATTCTCCAGGAGAGCTGGTACCCTCCTGGGGTAGTCTTTTATTTAATTCCACTACAATGTTAATGGGGGGGGGGGGGGGGGGGGGGAATTGGGCCTCCGGCCACCTGCACTCACCAAGCGCAACGCAGAGGTAAACCTCTACTTCACGCTGGTATTCTGTGAGGTCGTGGTACCACCCCAGTTCGAGCTGGCCCATCCGTGCGACAGCAAAAGCTACCGCTTGGCTCTACCACGGTTATATCCCCGAAACTCTTCACCGCTGCATTGGAAGACGTTTTCAAGCTTCTGGACTGGAAAGGATACGGTATCAACATCAATGGCGAGTACATCACTTACCTTCGATTTGCTGACGATATAGTCCTTAGGGCAGAATCGCTGGAGGACCTAAGCACTATGCTCAATGACTTCAATAGTGTCTCCCAACGGATAGGTCTTAAGATGAACATGGACAAAACAAAGATTATGTTTAATGTCCATGTCACACCTATGCCGGTAGTTGTTGGGAGCACTAAGCTCGAAGTTGTTGACGAGTATGTTTACCTGGGACAAATAGTCCAACTAGGTAAGTTCAACTTCGACCGAGAGGTCAATCGACGGATTCAACTCGGCTGGGCAGCGTTCGGGAAGCTACGACACATCTTCTCGTCAGACATACCTCAAAACCTTAAAACGAAATTGTACAACCAGTGCGTGTTGCCAGTGATGACTTACGGAACTGAGACGTGGTCCTTCACTGCTGGCCGTATGAGGAAGCTCAAGGTCGCTCAGCGAGCTATGGAGAGGGCTATGCTCGGAGTTTCTCTTCGTGATAAACTTAGGAATGAGGATATCCGCAGTAGAACCAGAGTAACCGACATAGCCCAACGGATTAATAAGCTGAAGTGGCAGTGGGCCGGCCATATAGCTCGAAGAACCGACAACCGATGGGGAAGAAAGGTTCTTGAGTGGCAGCCTCGTACCGGTAGGCGAAGTGTAGGGCGACCCCCCACGAGATGGAGTGACGACCTGGTAAGACATGCAGGAAGTCGATGGATGCAGGTGGCTCAGGCCCGTGCTTTGTGGCATTCCTTGGGGGAGGCCTATGTTCAGCAGTGGACTTATGAAAGGCTGTAATGATGATGATGATGATGATGAGTTTTACTTTTATTAATTACCGAAACAAGTATTTCGTTTAAACCTACAAAAAATTGATTCTGTTTAATTCAGGAATTTGTGAATGGGGAAGTAGGTTTTAAACCTCAAATTGATAAAGGTAAACCTTAAAACAATTCAACTCGTTCAAATATTAAAGTCGTCGTTGATGAAAATCTATTTTCGTTTACAAGTAGCATGGATTTTAAATTGAATCAAACTATAATAATCGCTACTAATATTTTTAGATATATGTAAACGCGAAAATATGTTTGTTGTTTTGTCCTTCTTTCTCGCAATAATGAGGCGACGAATCGTAATGATTTTTATTGCATAGAGATAGTTTATGAGCCGGAAAGTGATGTAGGTAGTGATATTTGTATAGCCATGTCCGTGGGGGGCAAAAGGGCCGTGAATTTAATTTACTGGTTAAAACTTTTAAAAAATGCTCGAAGGACCAAATAAAGTTTATTAAACACCCAGTACAGTAAGCATACGATTCGATGGCTAGTAGTCTCACTGTGTAGAATTTTCGTGTGCTTTCTAGCTAGCTATACTATACAGAAATAGTAGTAGGGAGAGTAAATTCAAATTACTAATACAACCCTAATTTACCCTATCACCCTTACAGTCCTAACCCTACCCATAGTGATTACAAACACACTCAAACACACGCACGCACACAGGCACACACACACACACACACACACATCTATATATATATATATATATATTGTCACCCTTATCCTATAATATATATAGCAAGCACACTGCACCTGATGGTAAGTGGTTGCTGTGGCCCATAGACATCTACATCTATCCTTGTTTGCGAATCAAAATGCAGATGCCTTGTCAGCCGTGAGGACTAACATGAAATGATTTTTTTCTAGTAAAAAGGGTCTCCGGTTTTCTATACTGACCATATGAAACACAGCAGCATTAAGCTGCTCGTTGGTATTCTGTGAAAACGTGGTCCTTCCCGGTCGAGCCGATCCATTCGTGCTACAACTATATAATTAATATAGCTGCAGCATGAGATCTGAGGTAATATAGACAGAAAGTAATGGCTATAGATATCGAATTTTCTCACGGGCAATCTCGCACTCACAAGAACGTGGTTAGGTTAAGGTGTCTTGGCCACAATGAGAGGAATGCAATCCAACGGCAGTCTTTTATAAATTTGCCAAAAAATTTAACAAAAACACAATTTTTTTAATTTGTTCCGGCTAATCTCCGAAACGGCTGTACCGATTTTGATGGGACTCACTGGCAGACAGCTGATGTTATAAGGAGTAAAGAGAGCTACTTTTGTTTAAGAAAAATAATTAGGGTTCCACGCAAAAAAATTAAAAACCTAAATTACACGCGGGCGAACTCGCAAGGAACAGCTAGTGATTCCATATGTATATTGAGATGTAATTCCAGTAAAAATCTTAACCAGATCTCCGGTTCACACATACGAAACATACGCTAGTATTGATTTCTTATATTTACGCGAACACTACACATTTAAATAAAACTAATTTTACGGATTTTATCGCGTATATTAACTTATATTTCCGACGTTTCGGGTGCTTTCCAGCACCCGTGGGTCACGGGGGACTCTGAAGAGTATAGTAACTGTCCTATACAGGAACGGGGGACTAAGGTGTTTGACGTCCTGATGTCATACATATCATATGTCATACGATTTACGCAGAATGAACTATTTAATTAAACTATTTAAATACGCTAGTATTATCTGTAAGAGATTAGTCTGATGATCCCCAGACGAGTGAACTTATATATTTGTAATACTGTTAAACTATAGCGGCAACGTGGGACTTGTACGTTTAATTTTTGTTACTAATGTCCTGTGTACAGCAAATAACTCCTGATAACTTTCAAAAATTGTTGTCACGGCATAATGTGTAGGACACGGATTTTGTGAAATAAAAGTTCCATGTGAGATATCACATATGAATATTATTTTATTTAGGAGTAATGATATAGATATAATATATGTTACACGGTACAATAAATATTATAAGGTACAAGGTGAATCGCTACACATGTCATAACTGCGGCGCCGCGCGCAACGACACCAACACCATCTGCCGGCACAGCACTGTAACACAACACAATGTGATGTCAGTTGTTGCAAATTAAGTAAATAAGTCAATATAAATAAGCAAAGTAACGGTTTCTAGTATTTAGGGTAGGTAAATAAAATTTGGCGAAGTAAGAATATTCACTACTCCATATCGTTTCGTGGGAGTCGTAAGAGGCGACAGAGGGAAACAAAACAGGAGCTGAGCTGCAGAATCTTCTTAATAACCACTAGAAATAAAAACTGCAGTCGCCAATCCGCCCGCCAAGCACGGCAACTAAGGCAAATATCTCATCTATGAGACCAATCTATAGATGATCCAATGTTCAACTTTGGACCTTTGATCTATAACCACGGAGCAAATACAAAGAGGAGACGGCTTAAGCAACTGTGCACTGTGATTCTAATTAGGCCCTGACGTCATCACAAGCGATGCGGCTTTATTTATTATACTGTCAGCGTTCGTCCTGTGCGCTTATGTATCGAAAATCGCAAATCGGTGTATTTTCGTAATATTAAGAAGAAAAGGATGAAATGTGTTTTATCGAGTAAAAACTACTCAGATAGACGCTATGAATGGCATCACATTTCATTTGTAAGTAATTTTAAACTTAATTTATTGAAATAGTTCTAGAAAAATCTCTTTGCGTCGGCTTTCAAATATAATTATATATATTCGACACTAGATGGCGACACTTTGTTTCATGTGAACTAAAAATATAAAGGTACGTAGAGCTCAGTATTGGCAAAACAAATAATACGAAAGTGATGAAATATGTTTTGCATTCAGTTCTAAAGAATTTTTAATCGCCAAAATATTATTTTTATAGTTTTTATAATCAATTTGTGAACAGGCCGCCATCTATCGTCAAGGTAGCTAAACTACATTGCAACATCGATATGGAACGATGCTACTAGTTTTACTATTTATCGGCAGATGGGAAATAGTTAAGTAGACAGGGCTTAACACCCCCTCACCCCGCAAATTGTCACGCGTTGTTACATAGTAAAATCTAATTACAACACCTCCTCTTTGTGTTTGCTCCGCGGCTATAACGGTCGTACGGTGTAAGTGTTTGTTGCACCCTTTCTATAGAAGTAAGGTTAACAGATTACATTTCATCTCATGGTTAGTGGAAAGTATTCTAGGCGAGCATGGTTCCTCTCTGGTCGAGCCGACCCATTTGTACTTCAGACACAATGCACAGCAGCGAGGTTCTACTGGTTTATACTGGCTCCCTAAAGACCGTAACACAGTGGTGGATATAACGCAGCTTGTTGGCAGATATGCTTGTTATACTCGAGAACTATTTGTAAACTGACATAGTGTGAACTGCTACATTCATAGAGATGTTTGATTTCTATTTATTCTTCATGTATGCAACATGTAAACTGGAAAAATAACTAAGTTTTAAGACTTTATTTTGTCGTCCTTCTTTTAACCGCACAAATGTCCCTGTTGAACATGGGCCTTTCCCCTTGAAAGGAAGTTTGGCTATAGTCGTCATGCTTGGCAAGTAGATTGACGAAAGCAATGTCAGAAGACGTCTTATACCTTTAATGCTGTTCAATAAGTACATAATTCAAATTATATGATGAAGATAATAATCTATAGCGAATTGAGTTCGTCGTGTAGTGGTTGCGTGAGAGAAGAATCTAAGCCAAGAGGGTAGGGTAGCCACCCCATATCCAACCCGTAACTGTCGTGAGAGACGACGGAGAGAAATGAAACAGATGGGTAGCACCGTCTTTCTGAAAATAAAATAAGGCAAATATTCTCAAGAGTCGATCCTTAGGAAAGGCCCAAGTTCAGCATTGGACTTTTATAGGAGGCTATAATGACGAGATGGCTGACACGTTTATATTGAATTTTATAACGATCAACAAGTTCTTAAATTTGTGTGCTACGTCACTACTATCCTTTACCATAGCGCTGTTCGCTCAACGGAGCCGGCAAGATTTACCGAGTTATTAAATAAGTACAAATCTATGGGAAGGCCTATATTCAGCAGTGGACATTTGAAAGGCTGTAATGAATGGATGTGATAGTGGATGGTGAAGGTGGAGATGGGATGAAGGTGTTCGACGTGGTCTAAGTGCGTGTAGTGGGCGCAGGCGGATCGCGCAGCTCGTCACCTCTGTCGGTGAGCACGTCGTCCAGCAGCACGTCGGCCAGCAGCGCGCCGGCCGGCCCGCTGGCCACGCCCGCCACGTAGCGCGCGCCGCACGCCTCGCTCCCCGCCACGCTCCCCGCCACGCTCGACAACGTGTCGCCCTCACGCCACGGCTGACCTTCGATTTCGACCGTCCGCCATTTGTTCAGCTCCTCTGTCGCTGATATACTATCCGCTGTTTCCTGCTTTACCAACAGTATAGGAATATCAATTGTTAGATTTACATATCAATTATTATAACGTTTACACCTCCTGTATTAGCATTGTGCTGAGGGCAGCATTGATTACAATTGCGTTCATCCGTTACGTTAGTACGGTTAGCAAATTCATAAATGTGTGTCGCTTTTTCCGCAAATATTCATTGATTATTTATTTTTTTTAGAAAAGCTGATTTTGTTACTTTAATATTAGTTTTTTTTTGTTAGCTCGTTCTGCTAAAAATTGTTTTTGTCAGAATCCACTTGGTCTAAAGAAGGATTAAGGTTAAAGAAGGATAACGAGGTAATTGTTATTGTCATTTTGTTAAAAATTTTAAAACGTGTAGCGTTGGCAAAGAGGTAAAAATGAATAATTTTACATTATATTACATACAATATAAATATTGTTTTATTTACGTATAGATAATTATACGCATCGCATTTATTCATTGACCCCATTGATATAAAATATTTCAAGTATTTTTTTTAAATAATTTAGATTATTTAAAATAAAATATTTAAAGAGTGCCCTCCACAGCCAAATATTTTCATATTAGCACAGAATAAATAATATTAAAAAAAACGGAAGGATAGATTTCTGATAGCAAATTTGCAAGTTTAAAATTAGTTACAACGTCGCTAATGTTCATAATACTTTACACGTCGTGGAAGTGATCTTCGTGAAATTAGCCTACCAATTATTTCGTCGAAAAAAAATTATGTGGCGCGCGTATTAAATCAAAATGCACCTTAGGTCCGCGTGCGAGTGTCTGTATCACTTAGCCCGTTTCGCGCCTTTGTTAAGACCGCCTCTACTGTAGGGTTAGGTGTTGTGAGAAAACAAATTGAATCCTTTGATCTTAGTTGGTACTTGGTATATAGTAGAATACACCGAAGTGTTATGCAAGGTATTAGTATTTCTTTTATTTTTTTTATTTTGTTAAAAAACACGTTACCGCCGCACTATGATTTTCTCCTGTATCGTGAAAGCATTTTCCAACTCATTGCTAAGCCATTGCGCCACGGAGTTATCAATCTGCTGATAATTAAAACTTAATTGTTCAATGTGAGGAAGGTTAATGTGCAACATCGAGGAAAATTAAGATTATAACAGAGTTTTGGCGGGAAATTGACCGGCGGCGGTTTGCTGCTCCTGTATTATTGTTTAAATAATGGTTTGAAGTGGACTTTGATATGTAAAAGTGTTGCGATTTTGTGTATTAAGTGTCTACGCATGTGAACTATTAGTGGAAACAGTGAAACAAGTGCTCTGATGGTGATGGATTCTCAAGATAAGCTGTTTGTTTGCATAGGCACCTTTAGATACCATCGCCAACTATCAGCTGTCTGCTGGATCAAGTTGCCGCCAAAATCTCCCAAGAACTGCACAATGTGACGCATCAACGTATTGTGAAGCAGTATACTATGAAGGAGTGGGGAAATGATTGGCGGTCCACCACTGTGCGATTTAGAAGATGTTTTCTTCCTCGCACAACTTCCTTGTGGAATAGTTTACCACCAGGGATTTTTCCGGACCGATACGACTTAGGGACCTTCAAGAAAAGAGCCTACTCCTTTTTAAAAGGCCGGCAACGCATCTGCAATTCCCCTGGTGTTGCGGTTGTTCATGGGCGGCGGTAGTCACTTACCATCAGGTGAGCCGCATGCTCGTTTGCCCCCTCTCCTATAAAAAAAAAAAAAATTACAATAAACCGAATAAAAATACTTAAGACTTGGCCTAAAGGTCTAGATACCAGGCCATAAACTCCAAAAAAAAAAGATTATAACAACATGAACGTCTTTGAAACTAAGATAATTTACCATTTACTTACCATTTTAACCGATTTTTAAAAAAAAGGAGGAGGTACTCAATTCGACTGTTGTTTTTATGAGTTCTTTTTTTCTAGGCGAATATATTTTCATGATTTTATTTTTATTTGAAAGCTGGTGTTCATAATTTATACTTACATTATAATTTTATAAGTTGTCTCTCTTCCTCTCTTTTTAAAAAACGTTACCAAACTATGATTTTCTCATTTATCACAGGGACAGTTTACATACATAGGAACAGACCCAGAACAATTATTTGTAGGCCATACAAATGCTTGTTCCAACTGGGATTCGAACACGCGGCCCTTAGCGCTGCAATTCATTTTTTTTATAGGATAGAGTGACAAACAAGCACACAGTCCACCTGAAGGTAAGTGGTTACTGTGACCCATAGACATCTACATCTTTCCTCAATAAAGACTCAAGATGCAGATGCGTTGTCACCCGTGAGGACTAAGATGGAATGCCTATTTGCCAGTAAAAAGGGTCTCCGGTTCTCTACACTCACCATACGAAACACAGCAGCGTTAAGCTGCTATATTACGCTGGTTTTCTGTGAGAGCGTGGTCCTTCCCCGGTCGAGTCGAACCATTCATGCTACAACTATACTACTAATATAGCTGCAGCATGGCTCTACCACGTAAAAAATCATTACTAAGCCACTGCGCCACTGAGCCGTCACTTGTCTGTTACACATTTTTGCTATTTACAAACATGCGACACGCGACTTCATTATTAATGAAAGAGTGGTAATGAGAAGTGATGCTACTTGGAATCTCTTTTATCGACCAAGTATTAAACGAGTAACCAGTATATGCTGATCTTGCATTAGTAGACAGTTACTGGTACTGGCAGTTCTACTTACACTGAACATTTTTTTAAGGTCATTGGCATTATACGCGAAAAAATCGGAAAATGCGAAGCTGTGATCGGTTCACTAATCAAATAATAAATCTGTAATTATAGCGTCAGTAATTATGTGTCAAATTATCTGGATCTACCTATAAATAACTTCTATTGTTATTTAAGCACTCGTATGCTATGCAGTACCTTCTGGTTTTTGAGAGGCCATACTTGAATAAAAACTCAAAAATAAAAATCAAAAAAGCCTAAATACTTATTAAAGAAAAATATTTTTTATGTTAACGTAAAGCGCGCGTCAGCTCGAGCGGGCGCGTGACAGACAACTTCACGGAATTTGCCCCGCATACGGGGCCGCACAGTGTAGGTATGTTTTCATGCCTAAAGCGCGGAGTGAGACAGGACTGATATTAGCAATAAAATTATGACCGCCAAAAATAAAATTAAGATTAGGAGTACGTAGCCAAATCGGTAAAGACAAACCTGAATATTAACAATGAGTTAAAATTAATTAAGAAGTCGCAGCGGTGTTTCAGAAATATTTCACTAATATTCCTATCTTGGCAACAATCATTGAATACTTCTACAACTGTCGCCGAATTATTACTGAAACAGAACGTTTGATACCTGTTTAAAATAATTTAGATTTGAAAAAGTATTACCACCATATATTGTAAAATACTTTAAAACTCTTGATCTAAAGAAAACCTCAGATTTTTAGGGGTTCCGTTTATTCCGTTACAGTTATTGCGTCCATAATAGATTTAATTACACCTCAACTTCCTATTATTTTTAATACTAGTATCGAATCTGGTGTGTTTCCTGATTTAATGAAACATAGTAAAGTAACCTTTATTTAAATCTGGTAGTATATTGGACCACGCCAATTTTAGACCTATTTCTGTAGTATCAACTTTCAGTAGAATTTTTGAAAAATTATCTTATATAAATTGTTTTTTTTTTAATAAGAATAAATTACTCCATAAAAATCAATTTGGTTTCACAAGGGGTCGCTCGACAACTGACGCAGGTGTTGAGCTTATGAAATATATTTTCTATACCTGGGAGAGAATTTAAGATGCCTTATAGGTAGTTTTTGTGATCTTTCCAAGGCTTTCGATTGTGTTTATCAAGAGATATTAATTAATCAGGAAACTATAACATTACCAGCAAAATGTTGTAGTTTCCTGATTAATTAATGTATCATGTAAAAATATTGCGCTTAGACTTATTATTTCATATTTAAATAAGATAACTCTACAGTCGTTATCAATGTGAGGTTCCTCCGGATCGGTATTATCAATGGGCGTTCCTCAGGGCTCGATTCTTGGCTGATTCCTGTTCTTAATCTATATTAATGACTTTAATACATTATCTCGTGTTTCTGTACGTAGTACACAATACTTCAATGTTTTATCCTCAAAGACATATACATAAAAGGTAAACCTTAACAATGGAGAAAGTGAATTTACCTCTGGAATACTCTCCTGCGAGGAGCAGCCTTCGACGAAGTCCTCGAAAGCGGAGTCTCTCTCTAAGTCCAACGTACGACTAATGACTGTACACGTCATATCGCGCACCGGATCAAGAATTAAGAAACTGCGTTCTCGGTCTTCTAATTCGTCTGTGCTCATTTTCGTTTCTCCCTGTCAGAAAGGTTACGACAAAACATTTCAACAACATTTTAGAAAGGTGCTGGTTTTAAATAAGGTCTGTGAAATTTAATTAATAGAATCAGGCGTTACTTTGCGGAAATCCATTATACGAGTACAAAAGCTTTTAGAATTTTTTTTTATAACGTTATTCGTTATAACGCAGATATTTGCGAAGTAAATTTTTCTAAAAACTTCTGTGAAATTTAACTTTGAAAATTAGATAATCCTACTTCTTTTATCTTATTTAGTAGTTTATATTAATTTTTATGCATAATTAATGCTTAATGTGTGCATAATATTTTTTTGTATATTAATATGTGACTGCATCTTTAAAAACCTTAAGAAAAATATCCTACAAATAAAAATATCTTTCTCGAAAGGCCGAGATGTATCTAAATCAAGTCGTGTGTTTTGCTGAGTGAGACGCTAATAGATCGCATCCACAAGTATCAAACGGACGTGTTGCGCGCGTCGCAATATACTAACCAAGCCTGGATTGCGTCTAGTACCCGTGCATGATTGAATATTGATTTAATCATATGCTAGTTTATGCGCGAGACAGTATGTACGAAAAATAATCTACTTTTAATTCGACGATAAATGCACAAGAAATTGATATTCATCATTAAACATTTTTTTTTAAATAGGGTGACAAACGAACACACTATCCATCTGATGGTAAGTGGATGCTGTGCCTCATAGACATCTACATCTATCGTCAATTTAGAATTAAAATGCAGATGCGTTGTTACTCTTGAGGACATGAATGGAATGCCTGTAAAAAGGGTATCCGGTTTTACACTTATTCTGCTGGCTATACCACTTAACAATATGTATAGATATCGCATCCTTGCAGTGAGGCGTGTTGAACACAATAGCGACACGTCCGCCGAGTGCATCCGTCAGACATGTCGTGTTGAGCCAATGTAAACTGAGCCTTATGTAGGTGGCGTACCTGCAGCGGCGCGGGGTCGAGCACGGTGGCCGTGCGGCCGCTGAGCGCGTCCGTGAGCACGTAGCAGCGCGCGCGCGCAGAGTCCGTCAGCACGTACGTGTCGCCCGCCTCCTCGCTCTCCGCACCCTCCGCGCCCTCCGTCTCCTCCCCGCCCTCCTCGCACCACGAGCTGTGCTCACACGACACCTCGTCCAGACCGCTCTCACCGAACCCGTGCGACGAGTCTTTCGCTGTAACAAGAAATGTAATTATTATCACATTTGCGAATATTTTGACGAACGAAATTTATAAAAAAAAAAGCAAGAACTTACAAAATAAATTACATTAAGAGAGTGCCAGGCGCTGGATAAAAGATCTAGTTAGTTTTGTACATAACAAAGCGAGGACAAAGTGCACGACGAAATTGTTTAAAAACAGCCGCAGCGCGACACTGTGTACATTCGTTCGTAAGGTCTTTAGTGCCTAGTACGTGGTGAAAACAATGTAACATCAAAAAGGATACCCGGTCATCTTTTAAATTAAAAAAAAAAATATATATATATATATATATATATATATATATATATATATATATATATATATATATATATATATATATATATATATATAAATTAATTAACAGTAAACAGGTTGCCGTGTCGACGACTTCGACATCGACGGATTTACTATTGATATTATTTTTTTCAATATGAAATCTCGCCCATAACCACTGTTAGTGTACAGAAAATACAAGCACATTTCCGTATGATGTTTCGTTTGTTATGGGTCGCCAAGCGCTCTCCCAATCACGCCCAGCTCTACATTACACTACACTACACTACGTACCATGTATTCGCGTGCGGGGCAGCAGGCGGCACAGTGCGTAGTTGCGACACGGAGCTGCTCGGGACACGCGGTAGCGTTGCCTACGCTCTCCCACTCGACGCCCAGCTCTACATCACACTACACTACGTACCGTGCATTCGCGTGCAGGGCAGCAGTCGGCACATTGCGTAGTTGCGACACCCAGCTACTCGCGACACACGGTAGAGGTGCCTAGCGCTCTCCCACTCGACGCCCAGCTCTACATCACACTACACTACGTACCGTGCATTCGCGTGCAGGGCAGCAGTCGGCACATTGCGTAGTTGCGACACCCAGCTACTCGCGACACACGGTAGAGGTGCCTAGCGCTCTCCCACTCGACGCCCAGCTCTACATCACACTACACTACGTACCGTGCATTCGCGTGCAGGGCAGCAGTCGGCACATTGCGTAGTTGCGACACCCAGCTACTCGCGACACACGGTAGAGGTGCCTAGCGCTCTCCCACTCGACGCCCAGCTCTACATCACACTACACTACGTACCGTGCATTCGCGTGCAGGGCAGCAGTCGGCACATTGCGTAGTTGCGACACCCAGCTACTCGCGACACACGGTAGAGGTGCCTAGCGCTCTCCCACTCGACGCCCAGCTCTACATCACACTACACTACGTACCGTGCATTTGCGTGCAGGGCAGCAGTCGGCACATTGCGTAGTTGCGACACAGAGCTGCTCGCGACACGCGGTGAGTTGCCTAGCGCTCTCCCACTCGAAGCCTGGCTCTACATCACACTACACTACACTACGTACCGTGCATTCGCGTGCAGGGCAGCAGTCGGCACATTGCGTAGTTACGACACGGAGCTGCTCGCGACAGGCGGTAGAGTTGCCTAGCGCTCTCCTACTCGAAGCCTAGCTCTACATCACACTACACTACACTACGTACCATGCATTCGCGTGCAGAGCAGCAGTCGGCACATTGCGTAGTTACGACACGGAGCTGCTTGCGACAGGCGGTAGAGTTGCCTAGCGCTCTCCCACTCGAAGCCTAGCTCTACATCACACTACACTACACTACGTACCGTGCATTCGCGTGCAGGGCAGCAGTCGGCACATTGCGTAGTTGGGACACAGAGCTGCTCGCGACACGCGGTAGAGTTGTGTAGCGCTTTCCCACTCGACGCCAAGCTCTACATCACACTACACTACACTACGTACCGTGCATTTGCGTGCAGGGCAGCAATCGGCACATTGCGTAGTTGCGACACAGAGCTGCTCGCGACACGCGGTAGAGTTGCCTAGCGCTCTCCCACTCGACGCCAAGCTCTACATCACACTACACTACACTACGTACCGTGCATTCGCGTGCAGGGCAGCAGTCGACACATTGCGTAGTTACGACACGGAGCTGCTCGCGACACGCGGTAGAGTTGCCTAGCGCTCTCCCACTCGACGCCAAGCTCTACATCACACTGCACTAAACTACGTACCGTGCATTTGCGTACAGGGCAGCAGTCGGCACATTGCGTAGTTGTGACACAGAGCTGCTTGCGACACGCGGTAGAGTTGCCTAGCGCTCTCCCACTCGAAGCCCAGCTCTACATCACACTACACTACACTACGTATAGTGCATTCCCTTGCAGGACAGCAGTCGGCACATTGCATAGTTACGACACGGAGTTGCTCGCGACACGCGGTAGAGTTGTGTAGCGCTCTCCCACTCGAAGTCTGGCTCTACATCACACTACACTACACTACGTACCGTGCATTCGCGTGCAGGGCAGCAGTTGGCACATTGCGTAATTGCGACACAGAGCTGCTCGCGACACGCGGTAGAGTTGCCTAGCGCTCTCCCACTTGAAGCCTAGCTTTACATCACACTACGTTACACTACGTACCGTGCATTCGCGTGCAGGGCAGTAGTCGGCACATTGCGTAATTGCGACACAGAGCTGCTCGCGACACGCGGTAGAGTTGCCTAGCTCTCTCCCACTTGAAGCCTAGCTTTACATCACACTACATTACACTACGTACCGTGCATTCGCGTGCAGGGCAGCAGTCGGCACATTGCGTAGTTGCGATACGGAGCTACTCGCGACACGCGGTAGAGTTGCCTAGCACTCTCCCACTCGACGCCTAGCTCTACATCACACTACACTATACGACGTACCGTGCACTCGCGTGCGGGGCAGCAGGCGGCACAGTGCGTAGCCGCGGCACGGAGCTGCTCGCGATACGCAGTATCGTTGCCTAGCGCTCTCCCACTCCGCGCCCAGCTCTACAACAGGTGCGTGCTTAAGGGTCCAACCACGCATTATTGAACCCTTATAGGGTATAGCCGAGGCACGTCTGTGGTAAAACGTTGTCACGTTGTCCGTAGTCTATCGGGCTCAATGTTAATATTATTTGCAAATGAATAAAACACATACGTAGTTTAGGTACATGTTTTAATACATGTGCATATAAAAATTTTAAATAATTTTATGGTAATAATTCATCCTTAAATATCTGTCAAAACATTTGTTTTAATATCGTCTACCTATTCAAAATTTACGTGGTTCGACCTTACTTATTTGCCCACTACACAATTATCTGCCTTAAGGTTCTTTTAATTTATGGTATATTTAATATTTTAATAAAATCTACTTTGTGCCTCTTGTATTCAATTTGCTATATAAAACGTAAAAACCTAATTTAACATGATGGCATAAATGGTGTATTGAACAACATACTATACTATGAAAAAGTGATCAGATGTGTGATACAGGAAAAAAAGTCAACGATCACTTGAAAAGTAAGTTTAAATATTATAAATATTTAAATATATGTAATATTGACATATTATGTAATAATAGTCGCAAAATAGTTACTATTAATAAAATAATAAATCTTTTTAGCAATAATAACCAAAACAACGATTTTTAAAAGTATAGATACATAACACAGCGATAATACAGCTAAAAATTGTGCCTATCGCACCGCAACCGCAACTATATTTATTGTTTAAGTAATGATTGTTGTGAATGGAGTTGCAAAAGAAAAATATGATACGACAATATAATAGGAAAAATCACATGGAAGAATAGAAGATGTTTGTCAGCTATTGGCGCAACAGTGTCGGGTGCATTCATAACTATTTATTAACTGTTTCAAATAAAGTGATTTTTTACTATTTCGAACGTTATCAATTCAACATAACAAACAACCAGACACACCCTCTGACATCTGGTCCTTCGAGCGGTGGTTTTTGGTGAGTTTCAAGTGTGAGAAATCGGTCCACTGGACTGCCACAAGCGGATTGAGAAGGTGCGTTAATCACATGAGAGCTTACTAAAAATCCAACGAAACATCAACAGGGGTGTAGTGTACTCATGGATACCCTTCCGCTGCGGGGGCAACGAAAAAGTTATGCCGGACTCATACCGGCTAAAACCCCACGGTGGTCAGCATCAGCTTATACTATGGGTCCCGGGATCTCCGTTCGGAACGCAACCGGGGCCCCTCCATCGCTTCGCTACGCTTATAGCACGTCCCGGGAACAGTAATTGCTGCCCCTAGCACCCTCGCAGTGCTATCACGATGTCTCGAGACCACTTCCGAGTCATCGTCCTCCTCGGAGGCTTAGGTACTTCATGTACCTCCCCACTCTGACTTCGGACCCACCCACGCGGACGCACGAGTCAGGTGGTTCCCTGCCCCGTGGTAATTTATGGAACCATAGGGCCTCGGTCTTTTGAGGCGCTATTTCTAAACCCAACTCATGGATTTTGGCGACGACGACTTCCACCCCAAGTTCGGCGAGCTCCTTGGGACCAAACAATGACTACAGCAACACGTCGCTGCACTCGCACGTGTCTCAAAACATAGAACAAAATAAGTCATCTGAAGTCCTGTTAGCTACCGCTATAGTGAATGTCAAGGCCGCCGACAGTACCTCGATGAAAATGAGAGCGCTGGTAGACCAAGGGTCTCAGATATCCCTTATCATCGAAAGTCCAGCTCAACGACTGAAAATCAAGAGAAACAATTGTGTCTATGTTTGGAGTTGGCGAAAGAGAAAGTAACGTAAAGGGCATGATAAACATATAATGTCAGTCGGTTTATAATGATTTTAACTTTCAAACTGACGTCATTATTATAAAGAATTTAGTCGGAAAACTACCTAACAATAATAGTCACGTAAAGCTTTTAAAAGCAAACTCAAGTGGTGCCAGGATCATGAAGAACAAATTAAAATGGATATTCTGGCATCTTCATGTGAGGCTAAGCAATTTGGTAAGTTCTGGCAGCATACGAACACACTGAGGGCAAGGTCGAGTCTCTCACCTCAAGTGGAGGGGCGTGAGTGGGTGTCGGAATATAGCGAACTTGTTCAAGTCGCAGTTTAAGGTGGAACCGTGCAAGCTTAATTGTATGTTAAATGACGGTGACGCTGGGGACAGTGTGAATATGGGGGGTAGTCCGCTGCGCTTCACAAGTTAAATCAGCAATTAACAATATGAAGCGTGGGAAATCACCAGGTCACGATGGCCTCAGCGTCGAACACCTCAGATAAGCGGGTGTGCACCTTCACAGAGTCCTCAAGTTACTCTACAACCTATGTGTTGGTCATGGTTACTTACCTGATACAATGATTATGACAGTGGTCGTGCCTATTCTTAAGAATAGGACGGGCGATGCAGCGGATGAAACCAACTACAGGCCGATATCCTTGGCGACCATCTCGGACAGTCTGCTTGATACACATTTAAGTAAGGCAGTTAAGTTACTTGATGCTCAGTTCGGGTTTAGGCCTGAACTATCAACGGAGAGCGCAATACTGTGTCTCAAGTAGACTGTGCGGTACTACACGGACAGGAAGACTCAGGTTTATGCGTGTTTCGTGGATTTGTCTAAAGCCTTCGACCGATATTTTTCGTCTTCGTCTTATAAAATTTTATGGCAAAAATTAAAACGGGAAAGTAGCTTGAGACCAGAGTAGGTTTCACTGTTGGAATATTGGTACGGTAACCAGACTAACACAGTTAGATAACGCCTTAAGTGATCCTTACAAGCTAGGGTGCGGAGAGAGGCAGGGAGGGCTGACGTCACCCAGGCTGTTTAATCTTTATGTTAACAGACTGATTGAGAGGCTCAGCAGAGCAGGTGTCGGTTGCTCAATAGATGGTGTATCCATGAATAATTTTAGTTACGCAGACGACATGGTTCTGTTGAGCCCCTCAGTCAGCGAGCTTCGAAAGCTGTTGAATATTTGTGAAGCTTATGCCGAGGAGGCTGGACTCAGTTACAACTCAAAAAAGCGTGAATTTATTATCTTTAGAGGTAAGAACAAACCACTTGATTTCACGCCACGTATCCAGCTATGTGGGATTCCTCTGAGACAAGTGGCTGAGTTTAGGTACCTCGGACATATTGTAACTGAACGCCTGGATGATGACAGTGACATTGAACGAGAGCGCCAAGCGCTGTCGGTCCGGGACAATATGTTGGCTCGCAGATTTGCACGTAGTACGACTCAAGTCAAGTTAACTTTGTTCAAGGCGTATTGCCAATCCTTTTACACGTGCAGTCTGTGGACTGACTATACGCGGCGGGCCTACAGTGTTCTGCGTCTTCAGTACAACAATGTGCTGAGGGTGATGTTGAGGAAGCCTCCACACTGCAGTGCGTCGGCCATGTTTGCGGATGCTCGTGTGGCCGACTTCTACGCGATCATGCGCAAGCGTGCCGCGTCCATGATGAGCAGGCTATTGAGGAGCTCCAACACCCTTCTCAGCGCATTGGCTGTGAAACTGGATTTCCCGCTCTGGAGGACTTGGAATGGTGCACACACCAGCACGAGGAGAATCCCATCTGGAGTTCGCTATGTGAGGCTGGGGGTAGGTTAAGCTACTAATATAGAATAAGAGAAACGACCTCGCAGTAGGATCCTCCTTCACCACGACAACGCCTCGTCGCACACTGCCAAGCAAACAATCGACTATTTGGCGACGTCAGACGTGGAATTACTGGGTCACCCGCCCTGTAGCCCCGACCTCGCACCTTGCGATTCTTATTTATTTCCGAAAATAAAAGAAAAACTTCGAGGAAAACGTTTTATGAACGCCGAGGAAGCAGTGGCTGCGTTTCAAAATGCCGTCGAAGAGATCGCTAAGGACGAATGGGCAAGGTGCTTTTCTCAGTGGTTCCACGGTTCCACCGGATATTAAATCAAATCATTTAAATCAAATATAAGTTTCTTTCCTTCTTCTATGAACGAAGTCCCATATAAAAGTTCGTCCATAAAAAAATGCTGATTCGGCAATTTTTGCCGCTTCTGGAAAACTTGCTCGTTCGTCAGCTGCTAGCATTCTCAAGGTCATTGCGGCTAGAAAAGTGTCCCTGTCGCTCGTGTCCCGTAAGTGACTGTTGTTCAGAAAAAAGTTTGTATAGGCTCTTCAGGTCCTTGTCTCCAAAAAAGTCATATATCAAGACGACGAATGCGTCATGAAAACAAACGACTACGATTTATGGACACAGAAACAGAAACTTTTTTATTCAATATAGATTATAAATAATACTTATTGTCACTCTTTTGTTTGATTACCACTGGTTCGGAAAAAAACCTCTGTCCTAGGAAGAACCAGCAAGAAACCCAGCGGGACTTTTTTTTTAAATAACAGCTTACAATCATGATGTTACACAAATTAACAACACAACAAATTAGAAATAGCTTGGTAGCGATCACCAAATTTCCAGGGGTTATTATCATCCATAAATTCCTTAATATTATAATAACCCTTTTTATACAAACTTAGTTTAATAAAGTTTTTGAACTTTGAGCAGGTCGAATTTTGTATATTTTCTGGAATTTTGTTGTAAAAGCGTATACATCGCCCCTAGAATGAATTACTGTCTCGATGGAGTCGAGTAACTGGTACTACTAGCTTGTGTCTGTTCCTAGTATTTACAGAATGAATATCACTTATTTTTGTAAAACTAATTTTATTTTTGTGTACGTACATTTTCATAAATGTATTGAGAGGCCAAAGTTAATATATTACTTTCCTTAAATTTTTGTCGCAGCGACTCTTTAGGCTTTAAATTATAAATTGCTCTTATGGCCCTCTTCTGTAAAACAAATATAATTTCAGTGTCAGCTGCGTGTCCCCATAGCAAAATACCATACAACATTATGCTATGGAAATAGCTAAAGTAAACTAGTCTAGCTGTTTCAACACTGGTAAGACTTCTAATCTTTTTTACAGCATATGCTGCAGAACTAAGTCTGCTTGCTAG